ATACATTGCCCAGGGTGCGCCACGTGGAGGTAAGTCTATCTTACATCCCGGAATAGAGACTTAAGTCAGTGCAATTGAGTGGCATCTTTCGTTACAAAAGCTAATTATTGTGCAATCCCATCTCTAAAACCCGATATCAATGGTGTTCTCAAGCTGATCCTTTCATGAAAACCTTGAAAACAAGGAAATAATGATCACTACCGTGCACCCAAAGTGTATTTTTAAAGACGAAGTTCCTCATCGCAGTATATTTTTTTTCTCCAAAGATGCATTTTCTCTTTTTAGATCAATTGTTTGATTTGACTTTTCAGAACTTTTTAACTGTCGTGTAGTATGCTATTTACTTTAAATATTTTTTAAGTAAATAAGAGATGGCCCAATCTCTATTGAATACCCTCAATACAGTCATCTTGGAAAGTTTTCCACAAAGTACAATCATCACTAAATGGCTTCCAACTGAATTTCCTCCCTTTGCTGGTAACTAATACCTTCACCATTTGACTAATTGAATGAACAAATGTCCTGAAAAGGTAGGATCAAAGTTTCACTTTCAATCTACTCTTCAATCAAATAGTTTATATTTTTATTTTATATCAAATGGCAGCCGTTATGATGATTATCATTAGCCCTTTAGTTGACTTCAGGCTTCAGTTTGATGATTATCATTAGCCCTTTAGTTGACTTCAGGCTTCACAGAGAGTAAGGAGCATCAAAGTAAAAAAAGTCGAGATGGGGGGGGGAGAAAGAAGAGTGTTTCAAAGACGAACATAGAAAAGGTAGAAAAAAGATGAGGTGAGTACTGTGGAAATAGTCGAATATGTCATAGAGTGAGGTGATGGGATTTTGAAGTGAGAAGTCAACTGCCAGTTAATAAACTTTTTTGCCATACGAGTGTACGTTGCCCAGGGTGCACAACATGGAGGTAAGTCTACCGCACACCCCGTTAAGTGCAGCATAAACACTGACTAGGCGGCGATATTGTAGTTTAGTATTTCACCCTATTTGAGCTTTCCCATCTACTATGGAATGATTCCCTGCTCAATAACATTATTAAAGTTTGAACCCCTTAAGGAGTGTTGGAGACGCCACGTGATCTACTTTAATTTACCTCCAGGTGTCACGTCACCCATCAGGCGTGCACTCTTAACCCCAGTTGTGACCCAGTATGAACATCACCAGCGCAAAATGTCCTCATATCACACTTTAAAAAAAATAATCCCTCAAACACAAAAGAACTCACATAAGATATTATAATACAAAAATAATAGCCTTTTATTTTAAATATGAAATCTTAATCACAAGTAGCAAATTCATCGGCCTCAATTACTGGTTACCTTGTCACTGTACCTATTTCATAGTTCGAGTTTTCACACGCGCAGCGAGAGCAAATCGAGGTCTCTTTGCTCCAGGAGCCAATGCAGAAGTTGAAGATGAAGACGACGTTCCTTCTGTTGATTCCTCCGATGGTGGAGGTGGAGTAAACTCCGAGTGAAAGAATTTGTACAGTCGTTGGGCGCATTCACTGCAGAAAAGAAGTTAAGTGTTGAGAAAGTATACTGAAAGAACGTGTAGTACACTCACAAAGTTTTTAAGGGACCGCTAACTCCAATAATTACTACATGAAGCCCACAGGATAAGACAAGATAACCCCTTCCCCCCCCCCCCCCCCGGGAAGCGCATTCGATTTCGTCAGTTCCACTCACACATTCCGGGTTGACCTCAATCAGCGCAGATGCCCTCCAACGTTTCCGCTCTTATTCATTCCCAGTTGCCCAAAATGCACATAATCCTACTTAAATCCCGACTTTCTCATTTTGGAAGGGCTATTATACCCTAGTAGTAGCAAGGCTAGTTATTAAGTTGATCGAGTTCTTCAAATATCATCATAAACATGAGAGGGATATCAAGCTATAACCAACCTGTTTTCCAGGATTTCATTCAGACGTTCAAGCGAGCAATCAGCTAACATAGCGATATTGTCTACACGTGCCATGACACGGCGATAGTTGCGCCAGGAGATTCCGGGTAATCGAAGGAGCATTTCGACAGCCTCCGCGTTCTCTTCACCCAAACCATCGCTATCCTGAAAGCAGTAAAGATGTACAAACAAATGTCTTCGGTACATCTGAACGAAGTTCACAATGTTCACCCATTGTGTAGCACCTGGGCATTTAAGGTCCCAACTAGAGTAATTATCGTCGCAATTATTACCTAAACAACTCTTTTCTACATATATGCTTCTATGCAATCTAAACAAGTTTTAAAAGTGAAGTCTGTTGTCTTCTCTCTTCTACGCAGGGCCAGAATAGACACAGTTTTGCGATTGTAGGGTTTCGAAATTTGGTGGTGAACACTCAGTGAATCGAATTGTAATTCAATGCCGCGTGTACCTGTGGCATGCCTACAAAGTCAGATTCTCCATCCAGTGAACAAAGTGGCCAACCGTACTGGTAGAAACAGGCAGAGGGAGAAAGAGGAATAAGAATGAAACTTTCCCATCTAGAGGACACCAGGAAGCCACTTATTTGTTTAAAGTGGGAGTTGGAAATCGAGGTTCAGCGAAACACATCCAGTGCTGAAGATGGCCAACAACGCTATTTATTTCTGATTAACCAGAGGGGTGGGTAGAATGACTCGTCTACTTAATTAATCACTCAAATCAAGTCTTGTTAACACTTTCCATTTTTACCAAACTATTCCATCTCCTTCCATACTGATGAGACTAATTACAACACATTCGAGAAGGATAGTCAGATACAACTAGGAGCATCTAAATCAAAACGAATAGCGAAGCCACGACAATATCAATCCTTATAAATAGAAGGCGCATAAATTGAAAAAAGGTCCAATAGTAATAGATTTAAGAAACTCACTTGTGGCAACTGTTCTATAGTAGGTTCCGCTCTACCAACCTTCAATTCTGCAAAGAGTTCCGCAGTACAATAGGGCGTAACACTCCATAACACTCTCAAAAGTGGGAAATGAAGGATCAAGAGGACCAAACGAGGCAAGAGGTGATGCGGATCCAAATCCGTCCGCGAATCAGCTGAAACAACTGCATTTCGGCCGGTGAATAGTGCAAAAGAGGCTCCTGATGAAGATGCTGCTGAGTTAGGAAAACGTGGAGCCTTGTACGTTATACCTTAAAAAAACGAATAGCAAACAATTAGACTTACTTAAAGAATTTGAGTAGGCATATTATCTAAACAAAAAATACCGTTCGCTGGCATCGAAAATTCAATGAGGAGGACAGGATGAATGTAGTGACGAGACATGGAAGTGCACTGCTGATACAACCGACCGGAATTCAGAGATCCGATCAGATCACTGACTGACTTGCGTTCGACGCAGATGTGTGGAGCAAGGATGTAGTCCCCGATTGTGAGGGTTATTGGATTTACCTATCGATAGGCACTTATTTCAACGTTAAAATACCTTAAGACCCTTGCGATGCAAGAGAGCCGGTAATTCACTCCGAAATTCGCGCACATCAACAAAAACGGTTGGGACTTCTTTGCTCTCGGCGACGGGAATTGCTGGTTCCGTCTTCTTGATGACAATTGAGCCACGGAGACTGATTAGGCTTTCAAAAGCCTCTTTCTCCTAAAATAAACACCATTTAACAAAATATATATCATCTCAAATTTATGGCCATGTTAATTGATCTCTGCCTTTCTATGCTACCATTTCTTCAAGTAGAACTTTTAGTCAGCAAATTTAAAGCAAGAGGAACGCCTTTCCATTTCTTTGATAGTGAAAATGTACAATTATATTTCATAGAAGGGGTGTGCGATAGATTTACCTCCACGTGATGCACCCTAGACAACGTATACTCATACGGCAAAAAGTCTATAAACTGGCAGTTGACTTCTCACTTCAAACTGTATGTCATATTCGACTACTTCCACAGTACACACCTCGCCTTTTTCTACCTATGTATCTGTCTCTTTTACATCTTTGAAACACTCTTCTGACCCCCCTCTGAGCCATGTAGAGCAGTTATTTATGATTGGATTAAGCGCTTTCAAGAGGGAAGAGTGCAAATTGATGAAAACCCAAGAGGAGAGCGACCCACCGCAGCAAGAAATGAAGAAAACATCTCTCTTGTACAGAACCTAGTGCAGGAACACGATGAACAAGTCAAAATTGAGAAAATTGCCAATGGGATAAGAATCTCACACGGATTGACATTTTCAATTCTCACTGAAAATCGTCTCATGAGCAAGCTCTCGGTGGGCACGGTGGATTCCAAAAGCGTTCGCAGGAAGAACTATAACTGATCCAAAGAGCCGAACTTCCTTTACCAACTTTGGCAAACAGTGGCAACCAAAGGGAACATCTGGGCCTACCAAGTTCAAATCTGGGAGATGCGCTAAGGTAATGGCCACTATTTTGTGGGATTCAAAAGGCCTTTCAAGAAGGACAGAAAACGGATACCTTAAGTCATTATGGCGACGATTTCAAGGAGTAATTGAAGGCACCCCTCACCAAAAAAAGAGGGACGGGGAGGGAGAGAAAACTGCACAAACTTTACTTCTTCATGAGCTGTCAGTGCCTTGATAATCGGATTTCGATGGGAAACACTTCCACATGCACATTGTAGTCCACACCTAGCTTCCTCAAACTTTTCTTCTTTCCAAAACAGACAAAAAAGACACCTTAAATGCATCAGATTTACGTCTTCAGATTAAATGGAAAAGTATTTGATTTACGTGGGAATTTACGAGTGGACATATAGGTTACAGCAGTGCGTAGACCACAATGAAGCTCATGTAGAAAAATGAATGCAATCATTTATTCAATAAATAAATCATAGAATTTGCCTGAAAACTTTAGACTCGCCCTCGTATAAGGAAAATCTTGCTGAGAAAACAGTTAAGGAATGAGAGAACACAATGAATTACTAAGGTGAGAGATTGGAAGAAGTTCCAAGAAGCACAGAAGTGCGAGGAGGAAGTGGTCTTGCCTCAAGAGTCACTACCCTTATAAGAAGGGGATGGGAGTTGGGTTGAAAATGTCTCAGGTCTTTTTCAGTCTATCCTAATTGGGCATCCCTATTGGCTGGTGATGTTACCAGTCTAGTCTAGTCTAATTTCAATTTCTCAGAAGACAACGTTTACAGTGGTGATTTAGGCAAAAGGAGTAACAAAGCAAAGAAATGAAAATCCCACGGCAATACAGATCGATAGAAAAGTGAGTATGATAGTTTAGTTGTTAAGGAAAATGGAGAACCATAGGAGAATCTCCTGCTTCATTATTGTTTGTAAAAAAACGAGGCTCAAAGAGATAGAATAGACAGGTGGATGCATTAATAAGCTGCGTGCATATAAAAATCAAACGGAGAAGCTTGAATATTTGATAATAGTCACAATCTCCCACTGCTGGTCGAAAAACTCAAATGAGAATTGAGGGCAAAACATCCACCTCTTCCAATCAAAGAAATTAACGTGCAAAAACTGTAATGAAAAAGAAGATGCATGGAGAAAGTGGGGGAAGGGGGTGGGAGAATATTATTTTATGAGAAAAAATCATAGCAACAGAATAAGCCAACTGAATGAATAATTGTAAAAATAAACAAGATCACCTGTACGAATAAAAAGTAACCGCAGAGAACGAATTTGACTGTATTACCCGTCTAAGTCGAGTTAGGTATCGTTGCTCCTCCACCGAATCCTTATAAACCATAAAGAAGACATTCACCGGGTCAAGTGGCAAACCTTCGGCAGCCCTTCGTCTAGCCTCTTTCGCTGCATACACCTCCACTTCCCGCACCCAGGCAACACAAGGTTCAAAAAATATGACACATTGAGGTCGAAGACGCGTTAGAACACCCCCTAATCGTCCAGCCGGTCCATCTAGACTCTTAGTATCAATTGACGAGAGCGCACCTTCCTCCCCACAACCAGGAGGAGGTACCCTAAGAATGACCTTTAGTTCATTCCCTTCTGATGGCCTGAAAGTGACTGAAATGCAACCTGGTGGAAGGTCAGGAATGGGAGATTCTGGAGGGATTTCAGGTTCAACTGCAATCTTCTTTGTCTTCTGACATGAAACAGAAGGCTTCTCCTCTGAAGTTTTAACTTCGGTCAACACGACTCCTTTTTCGTTCACCACAACGGGGGCCATTCCACACGAAATTGTACCCTTGGGGGCACCTTTATTTCTCCGGGCATAAGCAGGAAGAGCAGGTTCAGGAATACGTTGACGTTGTCTCTTTTTGGGGGATGAGTCATCATCCTCTAATGGGGTCTCTATTGGATGCTCATAAGCGACTCGTCCTTGAACTAGCCAATCACGTAGCTTCGTGCTACCATTTTGGAGAAAGTAATGAACAATCTCGATACTACGGGAATGCCGAAAGAGGATAAGAACGGGGCATTTCTTTTGTCGGTCTGTCTCGGATAACTTAGAATAGATCTCTTCCAGAGCAGAGTTAATTGCACTCAACTTTGGGGGAATTTCAACACAATAGGTTCCTGAAAAAGAGCATTATTTTTTCAATTAAAACTAACTTTTTTCGTAATTTTTATAGACCCGTTTTCGAGCGATAGTTAGCAATTGTTCCGATTGGCCCATAAGAAGCCAATTAGCACAATTTCCACCTCGTTGAACCGAGGTAACTTTAGTAGACCTGCTCATTCGAAGTGAAGCCAACTCTGTTTGCCTCATTTCTTCAAAAGAATCTAGGAATGAGACAGCATCATGGTCGATAAGTTGGAATAGAAGACGTCGTAGGCCAGCAACATCGGCTAACAGTCGAAGACTGGTTTGTGTCAACTGATGCCAAATTGGATCAATATAGAGACTTGTCTAAGAAGTGTAAACTGAGAGATCGAAGATGACAAACCAATTGATGAAAGGAGCTAGTAAGGGCCGACTCGAGGGCGAATTCATCGTTGTTGAGAATGGGATTAATATCAACAAGTTCACGAAGAGTAGCCTTAATCATTTCCAACAAACATCTCTGGCAGTTAACACTTTCAGCTGTCAAAAAAACCTAAGGATAAATAGAGATAACCAATGTCAAAACCCTACCTGCAATTCCTCAACGTTAATTGGTGAGTCAGTTAACGTATTCATTACATCTATGTTAAATCTCGGCCAGAGGAGAAGTTTAGAAACTCCGAATTGATTCATTAGATGTTCAACTCGATTATAACCAGTCATTAAAGCGATAGCATTATCTGTGAAAGCTTTGATGAACACACTGGGGTTCTTTTCTCGAAGTAAACGGAGCATGAATGCCTCTTGACTAGATTCATGCAAAGTATGAGCGCGTAAAACAATAACACCTGTTACAAGTTCTACTGGCATTGTTCCGCGCAAAAGATCAACAACGAGAATCCGGGAGCTGACAAAAACTACGCCACCGCGTCGGTATGCTTCAAGGCGCTCCTTCGAACTCACTTCTGCAGTTATTGTGAATGGAGTATATGCTTCATTTTCAAGAGTTAGGCGAGCTGTAATAAACTTTGCTTCGGGAAGTGAATAATTGGATATTAAAACTAAGTTATGTGGATCGTTATGAAGTTTAATAAGCGTATATATTATCGTATCAAGATCTAATCCTTCAGCACAAACGAATACGCAACTATCCTCATTTACATCCAAAACGATATTTTTTTCATATTCCAATAATACAGACATAGAATAGTGTTGTATCACCAGGTCAGAATTGTATTTGCCCCAGGTTGAAATGTTTTCAAGGTTTTATTAAAATCTACTGGAGGATATTAAGAGTAAAATACATTAATATTATGGATAATTTCATGAAAAGCCTTCATTTAATGTTAGAAAAAGTTTTTATTTAATTTTTTGGATTACTCTGTTATTGTTAATATTTATATTTTTCACTTAAAGCACATGATATTGCACAGTTTTGTGTTAAAATAATTTTATCTACGTTCAATTACTATGAAAATTTTTCGTTATTGCAGTTTGCAGTTTTTCAATTTTACTCACATCAAGTCTTTTGTTTACGAAAAAGTATCTGTTTCCCATCGCGTCAACGTAACCAAATGTCAAATAAAGGGATGATTTGTAATTGCTTCAAATGGTGGTGATCAGTGGTATCCATTGAGGTCCATCTAAATTTTTCATTTATTTCGGCTGTACTTTGAAAATACTTTGTTTCTTTTATACAGGCTAACTTTTATCTTTGTACGTCTATCAAATTTATTTCTTCCTCTTCTCTTTATGTTGAACTCACACGATGTTTCGAAATATCTGTTATTGGCTGTTGATTCCTTCATCAACATTGATCACAATTTTTCTTAACAGCTTGAGCATCACTCTCTCTCTCTCTGAAAAGGAGCAAATCCTACAAAGCATCATTAGTCCCTAGATTTCCGTTTTAAAAGAAAGAATTTGCGATTCCTAAGTAAGTAACGTGCAAATACTCAAATTTAGAATTAAATCCCTATCTTTTAATGATTGGGGGAAATTTAAACATTTCCAAATACCTGTGCTAAATATGACAGCACGCAATTTTGACTTCCTCAAATAAAATGTGCATATTTATTGAACTTCCTTATCTTAACGAAATAATAATCTATCTTTTTTATTCTCCTTTCCGCGATTGCCATATATGAGAACCTCGCACCTCAAATAAATTAATATGAATAATTTACTCGCGTTTCCACCTTTAACTTTCAATTTCTCCCTCAAACCTTTTAATCAAACGCATTTATTTGCGCCAATGTACAAATTTCCCACATAATGTATAATTCGACCCATCAATACAAATAATTGCATAATGTTTTGTTATAGCCACTTGGCTCGTTTTTATTGCAGCGTTATCGAGTTGTATTTATGCCTAGTACAATTTCTTGGGAAATCTAGAAGTCATTTACGGTACCCTACAGGGAAGAACATATCATATCAGTAGTTTTACAGCTCGTAACCATAAACTTTAACCGAGCTTATTTTTATTAAATAGACTATTTAAGTTATGCAGATTTGATTATTTGAAGCATTATTTGTTGCCAAACTAGTTAGTTAATGTAGTAGTACGCATACTGGTTCCACGTCTGTTTACCTTGAATTGAGGTTAGAAATCTACAAATCGATAATCCATTCCACGAATAATGAAAGCTTCTGGCCCCTTAATATCTCTCCGAATCAAATGATAATCGATGTGTACAAATAGATGCCGATTTAACAACGCTTTTGTTATACTCTGCTTTTCGTTGATTAATACCGTTTTAGATGCGAATATAATCCGAAGAGGGACAAGAGGGGCAAATCACTGTATCAAATCATAATGTAAGTATATGCATCAATAGATGGATTTATAATACGTGTGACATTTACGTGTGCAAATAGACGCATCTGATTAAATGCCATACAGGAGAACTTATAATTTAAATGTGGAAAATACAAGCATGTTGTGCACAATCATTAATTTTTTGGAGGAGGGTTGGGGGAGATATAACTTTCCAATATGCAAGCACAATCAAAAGTGAAGTAAATAACTTAAATTACTTTCTCTAAGAAAGCTGTTGAACGTAAAAATTAGTTCCCGGTGAAATTAAACTAATTAGCACGAGATAGTGGGGGGGGGGGGNGGGGGGGTAAATCATTAGACCTCGACGTTGATTGGTATTGGCAGCTCGAATACAAATGTGGCCTCTTTTTTAAAAAAACGCTTTCCGTCACGTTGTTCAGACATTCAATCTTTGCTATCCAATCAACGTAAGTTTATCAGATTTGGGAATGGCAATTGTTCCATAGAATTTCATGAGTTCGGAAATGGCATATCTCCAAGCATAACTTACTCATTCCCAGCTAAGTAAACTTTCCTCCGGGTATAGCCATGATGTATATGCATTGAGCTGATCGCTTAACGGCGAAGTGTTCTATTCTTAAGCAAGTTTTACACATCTGATCAGTTCATTTGATGTCATTTATATCAACTTGCAGATTCATGGACCAGGTCTAATATATTAGAATTTTTCTTAATCTAATAGATAAATATATTGAAGTTTCGTGAGATCATCATTACATGCATCACATAATGTTCTAATCTATCTCCACAACAAATGCAATATCAATTAGTAATAATTCATCATACTACTCAAGCACGTAGGTGTTATATGTAGTAGGCACACCCCACCCACATTGATTCTCATTGGTCGCGCGGTCTAATTGGTTGACGCCCTTTAAGCATATGCAAAAGAACTTGCAAGTGCGAGCGCCTTAGCAACGGTGGAAGTCAGTGTCTTGCTTCTCACCACAACCCACTCACACACACCAACCACTAGTCTAACTACCGAATACGCAACAATGCAAGGATGATGACTAGTGACTCTATGGTGAACATCATCCCCGAAGTGGGGACAATTTCCACACCTCCGGATGATGAACCAGTCCGTAGGAAGCCCCCAATAATTGAAGCAATTCTCAATGAACTTGGATTTGGCTGGTTCCAGGTCCGAATGATTTTCATTCTCGGTGTGGCTCATTCTACAGACACGATGGAGACAATAATCCAGGCTATCTTGGGCCCTAGTCTCCGTTGTGATTGGTTTCTATCAGCTGATTATATCGCTCTCCTTAATAGTCTCGTCTTTCTCGGAAGTTGTATTGGAGCAATACCGCTTGGATATGCAGCGGATGTCTTTGGAAGACGTTCTATTTGCCTTCTTTCCATCCTAGTCTTGATGTATCTCTCCTGGCTATGTACCATCACTCCGACATTCGCCTGGATAGCTTCTCTCCGATTTGTATCTGGTCTCTTCATCGGTGGAGTATTAACAGCAGGAAGTTCTCTCCTCTCTGAAATAATGCCATCAAAATTTCAAGCGGCCGGTCAATTAATAACCAACAACTTTGAGGCCCTTATAGGTGTCCTGACAGCAGCAATTGGTCTCGGGTGCTTAGAAGGTGGATTAAACTGGAGATTTTTTGTGTTCTTCACGACAGCTCCACTAGCACTCTGCGCTATATTTCTAGTCTTTTTTACCTTGGAATCTCCAGTTTTTCTCTACTGCAAGAAACAGAATGAGGAAGCTGCAAAAGTGTTGGACAAAGTAGCTCTTATTAATAAAAGAATTCCTAAATCTGCTATCGGGGATGTTTCATTTCTTGGCAGAATTCGAGAAGCGGATGAGATTGAGGACTTCCGAATTTCAAAAGTCGGAGCGAAGGAAGTATATGCTCTGCTAATTCGACGAAAACCTTGGCTTCTACCTCTTCTCCTCATATTGAATTTCTTTTGGGGCTTCATTCTTTATGGAGGCACCACGATTCTACCAGTGGAATTAGCTGCCGGACCTAGAACTTGCCTTCAGGTGGGCTATTATGGGCTTTATAAAATTATAGAAAATGAGAAAATGTGAAAAGTATTCTAGTCATCATCAGCACCTAAAAATAGGTTTTGACAGCACTGTTGTCAGTTACTTATTTGTGTAGATGTTATTTTTGAAAGGTAAATTTTTATAAAATTTAATTTTTATTAATTAATTATAATTAAATTTAATTTTTCTAATTTTTATAAAGGTAGAAATTGATAAATTTTTATTTTCAAAAATAGCATTTATTATTTTATGCTAATATTTAAGTGGAATCTTTCGAAAACTATTATGACTTCCCTATGTGCAGACTATCAGTGAGAGACTAGAATTCAAGTCAACTAAGACTTGAAAATGTTTAGGAAGTAATTGAATTAATGAATATTCATAACCACTTCAAAGCCCTCCCACGATCGAATGAAGTCTGAGGAGCATGGATTACGCAAATGGTCTCGTAATTTTGTTTTACTTATTGGTTGATAATTCTATACGCTTTAAAATTTTTGATTATAAGATATGGGACTGTCTTCCACAGTATTGTCGATTGTCATTTATTGAAATGAAACACATTTTAAGATTCCAAACGAAAATTTTCAGCGAATCTCTGAATAAATGGTCCATAGTATTGGCTTGCTTTTGTCAGAAATTTGGCCGATTTAAAATCTTATTTAATTAGTTGAAATGATACCTTTCGGTTCAGGAAGTATGACTACCAATCAAATGGTTTTTTTTCACTAGGTAAATAATTGATAAAATATATTTTGGCATTTTTCAGAATTTCTCTTTAACATAAAAGGGTCAAAATTATATCCATAGAGCACCTTGAAAGCTCATTTTTAAAACTTTTGAACGAACTCCACACGCCAAAATGTCATTTTCTCTGGAGAAAATTGTAAATTATATGACTATAAACTATTATTCAACTAAGGCGAAAATGAATGTTTTTATTATTGTAAACTAAATTTAAACGCCTGTTAGTGGTGAAGAGTTTTATTCATATTTAGAAGTTACGGATTAGACAATAGTAATATTTAATAAATGAATTCCAATTTCTTCTGAGTTGTTCTGTTACTGGTAGCGTAACACTTAAAAAATCCTTCATGATTTAAATGATCGTAATTGTCATTATTGGTAAGAAGGGAATTTCTGCAAGCTATGAAAAAACTAATTCACAGGATTCAGTTGTCAACTCAACGAATTAATTTAGCATGAGAAAAGTTCAAGCATGCAAGTAAGATGGGAAATTAATCCAAGTAAATCGACTAAAACACTAGTAATAGTCTTCTTAAAATAAGAGCACAAAGTAATTGCACTTAATGCGTGGGCGAAGGTGGGAAATTCCATTTTTAAATAACCACTTTTCCACAGTTTATTCAAATGTTCGGGGCACCGCTTTGGAAGTGCAATTTTTTCATGAAAGTCTTTGTGTTGATTTGATCAATTTTCGCGCTCTTGCCCGAAATTTGTGGTGTGTTTTTATAATACTGCTCATTCTTGAACACATTAACCTTTCTCTCTCACACACACACACACACACTTTATGTCAATACTGCCTGTGTGTGTGAATTCACTGACCTTTTGAATGCTTCTAACAGCTCGGCTGAATATTGCTTCTTCTTAGGCGATTTGATTTTAGAATGGGATTATTCCAGAAAGATTTCAAGTATTTATGCATATTCCATGTGTTGGCGATGTGAGCGCTTATGTTGAAAACATTCCGAATTTTATGGTATTATAACACTTTCTTTAAGGCGATAATTGGCCTTAAGCATAAATTTTGCGAGACTCTCTTTAAGTTGGACTTGATAAGAAATTACCAAATGAGTTCTTTTGAGCAGCGCTAAGACAAGCATATTTATGGGTTCTGGAGGATTCAAATTGGAGCAAAGTAGATAAAACAATTCCTTGTCAATTGCACCTTCCTAAGCCTTCTGTTACTTACCTTAAGGAGTAGCAACCTTAATCATTACGGTTTTTATTCCTAATGACATATTTTACAAGACTAGGCGGTCATTTTGACACAGCTGAGAGCTTGCTGAGGTATTGCTATGGCCACAGTTACTCAGAACCGGCGGAAAATGGCCAAGGAATCTGTAACTCGACGGACAACCTTCCTGACAAGAAAACAAATTCTGATAAGTGGGAATTGATTGGTTGTTGAGTTAACCAATAAATGTAGTTGCGGTGGAATTGTCTGTCCAGTTCTGTTCCTGGATAGGCAATAATTGATAAAACGTTACACAATTATTTTTCGTAAAACTCTAAACTTAAGAATTTCCTATGTGAACATATTAACTATTGAATCAAACCGGTTCAACATATATCATAGTAAAGTTAAAAGATTATATTATTTAAATTATGGATTTGATCAAAACTCTTTCTATCGATAATCATGCACTTTTAGCTGCTTAAATGCAGTCAGTAGAATCACAAGTTTTGTTTCCCACAAGGACTCTTTTTTTCATCTGTTATTTTAGCGGTATATAATTTCTTATTCAGAATAGCAAACCATTGTCGTCATTCATTAGAAATGCGTGTTAGTAAGAATATTTATTGTTCTTAAAGATATTTTTAAGTGAGAAAGGAATTGGAGGAATTGGAGTACCTTTGAATTAGCATTTTGAAAGGTAAAGTTCTAGCTTAAAGTCAACTTCTCAAAACTTTCTTGAATTCAGTAATTAAAGGCTAAATTCACGCGGAATGCGGTTTAAAGGAATGCTAAGGACTAGGTTTTCATAAAACAG